GCATTTTGTAATAGTATCAATAATATCAATGATTTTGTGTTTGACTTATAGATATATAATATTATATTTTTAAAACTAAAAAGAAATTTTTATAAAACTTTTTTAATTATGAAATATTATAAAAGATTAAGTGAACATATATCAAAAAGCACTCTTGCTTGAATGGTTAGAAACTTAACCAAATGTTTAAGAAATCTTAAGTTCAAACGCCCATGGTGGCATGTTTTGGAAAATAATCGCAAAAAACAAAAAAAAATAGGTCCGACCGGTTTGACAAGTCGATTCACACCGGTTTGGACTGGTTTGAAGCTGGTTACGTTCCAAAGGGCTGGACTGGACCGATTGAACCACCGTTTCACCGGTTCACAGTTCGAACTGGCTGGTCTGGTCCAATTTTTAAAGCTATGGTCTCACATTCTCATCAGACAACTTACAATGCAAGATATTCAATTCCAAACTAGTAAGAATCGAACCCTTACATACGGTTGTCAATGGATAACTGAAAGTACTATTATCATTCGTATCCGTTTTAAACGGATATTATCCATATCTGATTAAAGACATCAGATTACTAAATGGATATCGAATTGGTAATTGAACATTTGTTTCGTTTAAAATCTGATCAATATATACATCTGTTTAGATAATCGTTTATCCGAAGAATCTGTTAATCCAAATACCGAATTAAATTTATTTTAATAAATTTAATTCTCTACCCAGCCCATTATACATTTACACTCCGCCCATATATCCAAAAATATACCTTACCCTATAAGTCTCTAGCCTTAGTGTCTTACCATAACTTCCATAAAGTATTTGGTCGATAATGAATTTATATTTTTGTTCAAACCATTTGTTTTGGTTAAGCATTTACTATTTAGACAATAATTTTTTTTACGTATTGGACATTGTTCACTATTGCGGATTTCGATATTTACTTTAACAATCCTTTTGTAATCATTTGAATTTTTTATTAATAGTTTGGATATTCAGAAATGTTCTGAAAACCGGATTGGATGTCAAATTGAACTAGCAACTGGGTCAAGGGTCCATCGGTTGAACCGAGTTGACTCAGGTCAACAAGTCATAGCTTGGTATAAAATATTCATATATATGTTTAAATAAAAAACTTTACCAAGTTTTTTGAACTACTTTTAAATATAATAAAATATTATGACATAACATAAGTATGCTTATAATTAGAAAAAACATAAAGTTTATTTTAAAAAATACAAAGCATTACAGTTAGATGTAGATTAGTTTGTTAAAAAAAATTAGAACACAGCATTTATTAATTAAGAAAAACAATATACATTGTGTAATGCTTACAAATACCAAGCGTTTGATTTCACTAACTTTAAATTTTAGGATTAGAGGTAGGGTGGGCAAACGGGTCAAAGAATCGAGAGTCGGAACCAAACTGATAGGTTCGGTCTGGGTTATGGGCGGGTCCTCTTTTCAAATATTTATAACGGGCCGGGTCGGTCCGGTCCTTATAGGTTTTAAGGTCGGTCCGGTTCTCCATTTTGAAATTGTCCAAGACCCGGACCGGACCTCTTTTTAATACTCCGTATTATTATTAGTAATTACAGCAAGAACTATGCCCTTACAATTTACGCCCTTACCCCTCTTTGTCATTGTTTTGTCTTCATTTAGGCCTCTTTTTTTGTTGGATGACTTAAAATTAACAAAGAGTTAGTTTAGTACATTGTTGTGGACTAATGGTGAATGACCATGTATGTATTATTAATTTATTATTACTTTATTTTTTTAATATTAGTATCATGATAGGTTTGGACCCGTTGATTCGTGGAATCAGCCCGTTTCAAACAAGCCGGGTTAGGTCCGGTTTCCATTTTAAAATTTTGAAAATCCGTTCCGGCCTGGACCATTATAATAAAAACAAGCCAGGTCTAGTTTATATAAATCTTGGCTTGGACTGGCCCGTGCCCACCCCTAGTTCGATGTGTTGGGTTTGAATCTCTCTGCCCCCATCTTACATTTTTCTTTCTAGCTGTGAACACATTGATATTTGGTCGGATTCAGATATTTGGTCGGTTTCAGAAATGTAATCGGATCTGGATATATCCGAAATCGGGAATTATCCGTCAGTTACAGATTCGTATATAGAAATGTAAATATCCGTCGGATATGGTTACAGATTTGAATATCTCAATACTTAATCACATTCGGATCCGGATATGCATGCCATATCTGTCGCGAATATTATCTATTTACACTCCTATCCTTACACACCCTATTAACAACACTTTAGGATTTTACGAGTTGTGAAGTTGTAGTTAGAAGTGAAATCTTTATTATCTAATAAGATCAATTGTTATCAAATTAGATGTGAACATTCTACAAGTACGTACAAATGCCTAGGAATGGTGTAAGTGTATAACGTTGTTGCGTTGTACGACATAAAAATGGACAATACTTAGGCCCGATCTGTTCTGCTCGCCTGATCTAATTGGATTTAATCTGAATTTTTTTGGTCTGGTCTGATTGGATCTGATTTCATTTGAATGGATTTTATTTTATCTGATCTAAATAAAAATTAAATTATTATTATAATAACTTTATTATTATTATTATTATTATTATCATGATTATTATTATTATTATTATTATTATTATCATTATATGAGATTAAAAAATTGAGTAATAGACTAAAGATGTCAAAAAAAGATATCTCTGATTATAACAGATAAAAATTATTGAAAAATATGGATACTATATTACTAAATGTTAAGTTTTGATCTCATCGTAGGCTCTGTTTGGCATCCTTTAGCGTTGGCGTTTTCTGAATTAATCTACACCGTTAATATTTTATCCAAAACGCTAACGCTAATTGAAAACGCTCTTCCCAAACAAGGTTGTAATCATTTTAAAACGTAGATATCGTAATACTCATGTTAAAAATCGTGCTAGCATAGTGTTTCCTTCATTCCTGATTTGTTAAGTTTTTTTACTTTTTACAGTAAACTCAGATAGATATTTGACTTATAATTAAATAAAAATCACACGCTATATTAATTAGGTAATTAATGAAACATTTTGAAAATATTATAAAAGATAAATCTAATAAAGTTATTTTTTTTTATCAATATCTAATATAGATTTTATTTAATTCATTTTCAAACTTTATCAATTTTAACTATAAAATGTAAAAATTTGACAAAAACTCTAGATGAAGGTAGTATTCTGTTTGAAAATGTCCCAAATAAGTTCACTTTTTATCTTTCTTTTTTTTTGAAATATGTATGTAATCTAAAATATTTATCTCATTTTTAAAAAATCTACCACTTAGTTTTTAATATTCTTATCATTTTCACTCTTTTTAATTTTCGTGAAGAGAAAATAAATAATTTTTATAGGCGGAGAGTGTACTATAATACTCCCTCCGTCCCGGAGTATTCGTCCATTTTTTACTTTTGGAACTCTTCATCTAAGCACTTTGACTCATCAAATTCTCTCAATGTGTAAGCCTAAATATAGTCATGTGTGATCTTGTTTGATTTGTCTTAACATATAGATTATTATATATAATTTCTATAATTTTTTAATATACAAATTACAAGATAAAATGGATTAAAGAAATGTATTGGATGGTGTGTAAAAATGAAAGTGGACAAATACTCTGGGACGGAGGTAGTATTAATGATTGCTCCCTCCACCCTTAAAATATTACTCCGTATCTTGTATACTACTCCATATAACATGCCTCGGATATTTTTTTTTTTACTTTTTTTCTTATGCGTTTTTATTAATTAATTATTTGATAGAATAAAATAGATATGTCACTACTTGGTTTGTAAAATTTTAAATTATTTCTTAAATGTGGTAATTGTAGTCTTTATTATTATACTTCTTATAAATAAAATTATTTTTCAACTTTTTTTGAATTTATCTAATATAAAATAAAAAATCATATCTGATTTGTTCTGATATGATCTGGTTGGATTTGGTATGGTCTAATCTAATCTGATTTTTATAAGATTAGGTAATAAATAGAAAAAAATAAGTTGAACAAAACATGCCCTTTGTATGCAAAAAGCAAAAAACTACTCCCATTTTTCAGTAACACAAGGTTGCTAAGCCTAACTAATTAGGCAATGTTCCGCTCAACTTATTTTTTATGCTTATTACTTATTCTTATTAAGATCAAATGAGATTAGATCTAGTAATATCAGATCAGATCGAATCAGAGACCAGATCTAAACGAAATTATTATTATTATTATTATTATTATTATTATTATTATTATTACCATTATTATTAATATTAATTTTATGATTATAATTATAATAGCTATTGTTATCATTATTATTACTATTAGGAAGTATAATTAAATTAGGATGCTTCTTTCCTTTCCTACTAGGATTATTCTTTCCTTTCCTACTTGTACTTTGATTACTCTTGTATTCCCTATATATAGGGTCATATCTCTCAATATTCAATAAGACAAGTTATTATCAAATTGTATCATGGTATCAGAGCTAAGGCTCTCAAAAACCTAGCCTCTCTTTTTTTTCCGACCGCCGCCCACCATGGCAGCCCCGTCGGATCCTTTGGCGTCCTTACCCTCCGGAGTAAAACTTTTGCTTCGGAGTCTCCACAACTTAATCCCAGAAAAACTCACCGAAACAAATTATCCGACATGGTCTCTCAATGTCCAGACAGCTCTTTCAGCTAATCTCCTCCTTGGATGGATTGATGGTCATGAAGCAGCCCCGGCGCCAACTATCTCCAAAAACGATAAAACCGTCCCTAATCCAGAGTATACCTCCTGGACCATCGTTGACACACATATCCGCGCCTGCCTCCTAGCGGTCATCAGCCCCTCCGTTCACAAACATGCTCGCGGCTTCACCACATCTGCTGCCCTCTGGGATGCTTTGGCCGCACGGTACAACTCCGTGTCCGCCGCTCATGTTTATCAGCTTCGGGACAAACTCCACACTCTTCGTAAAGGTACCAAGACTATGACACAATACCTTGATGATGTGGCAACTATTCTCTCAGATCTCGATGCCTTGAAAGAAGAGATCCCTGAACGTGATGTGGTGAATGCTGTTATTCGTGGTCTTCCCACCGAATACTCATCCTTTAAGCAAAACATTCGCATGAACAATACCAATATTTCGTTAAATCAGCTTTCTGGATGGCTGATCTCCGAAGAAATAAACCTGGAGATGGAGAATAAACTCAGCCTCACCGAGTCTACCATCACCGAACCTCGCACAGCACTTCTCGCTAC